CAGCCTCACGCTCTAACCAACTGAGCTATGGAAGCACTTGGAAGTCGACGTCCAAAGGGCAGGGGGCACTTACCAGCCGAGGGAACGCAGTGCTCCTCGCCGCAACTCTCGCTCCCGCTCCCGCACTTGCTCCAGTTCCTCCGGCGAGTGGCGCCGCTCCCCGTCGCCACTGCGCAGGCGGCCTCCCACACCACTACCTCCTCCACCGCGGCGCGCCCAGCCGGCAGCACGCGGGGGGAAGTGTCTGTGCCGGAGCCCGCTGCCCGTCGGTTCCACCGCGGGATTCGGGCCGGCGACCGCATCAAAACCCGACGCAATCGTGCAGCCGAACGCGCCAACCCCTTTACGGCAGCGTCGGCCAGAACCAGCCCTTTCAGCACCGGTGGCCACGGCGCAGGCACAGGCCTTTTTGGGAGCACTCCGGGTCCAACTCCGTTCCGGGACGCCTGCTGTCACCGTGCGGCGCCAGTACAGGCGGGGCGCAGTATTCTTGCCGATCGTACCGTCCAGCCACACACTGGCCAGGTGTCGTCGTCACCGTTCTTCCTGCAGCCAGTCCCCCAGACCTTGCTTCCTTGGCTGCCGTCCTGGCGCCGTCGGGCAAACAACTAAGGGCCGGCTCGGGCTGACCGGGCCACACGCTTCATTGGCGCAAACCTCAGTTACACTGGGGCTCCTGCAACTTGTCGACCGCGGCGCCTCACTTCGGCTTGGCCGCAGGTCACACCTAAGCACCACACATTTTTTTTTGTTTGACCAGGCAGCCTCGAGGCGCCACCCAGTGGGCTGCCCTGGGCGCCGGGTCGTGTAGTTTTACACAGCTACACGTGTAAGCGTGCACTTGCAGGTGCCGAGCGATTCGTGGTATTTGCACCGGGCTCGCAATTAGCCCAAGGTTTGTAGTAAAGCATAAGCACCACAACTGCCGCCCAGGTCTTGGCCCCAGGGCTGCCGGCAGGCGCGTGGCTTGGTGCGGCGTTGTGGGACCTGTTCCTTTACCTTTAGGGGTGTATAGGCGCTCAAGCAGGAGAAGCCTTGGCTGCCTCAGGCGCCGCGCTTCTCGTGCCGCAATCTCAGCATTACAGCCGCCAGTTGTTTTAGAGCATTTAGAGCTTTCCGAGCATTCGCGTTGACTTTTCAGCCAGGTCACAAAGCCTCACGTCGCCCAAGGTGCATTGTGAGGTTGCCAGGGTTCGTGCACAGCCGTGTCAAGGACCGTTACGGCTACTTCTGGATACTGTTGGCAGCTGCGATAAAGGGTCGGCGTCAAGCACGCTCATTGCCAAAGCCTTTCCATCAGTTGTGCAGTACAGTGCAAGAGTGCATCAGCCAACCAACCTCAGGTAATCATAGGATTCGCTAGGTTGATTGCCATCGGCAGGGGGTCACCCACAAGTCTGCGAGGCAGGCTAGGAGCATCTAGGAGCAGCGAGCACTCAAGTACAGCATCTTGGCCACCAGGGCGCCGGCAAGCAGCCCAAAGACCCAACAGCACCTACTTCCTTAATCTCGGGTGCTGACGCACACGCAAGGCCAAGCGGTTTTCGCAAATTCGCACTGCATACCGCGGCCACGGCGGCGCTTGCATCATGTCGCAGTGCTCACGGGCGGACTCGCCTCACCGTGCCTTCTACTCTGCCAGCCCTGGGCGATGTCACTCCCTTGGCACTTTCGGGTGACGAAGCTGTGTGCCCTGTTTGCCTTGACAACTTCGACCCCACGGCTGCCGGCGGCGACGCGCGCGTGCCTTTCCCAACCTGTGGCGTGCACCACATGCACCTTGCTTGCCTGGCACAATTTCGTACCCAGGCATCCGGCCCCTCCGAGTTGCTTTGCCCCTTGTGCCGCCACAGCCGCTGTCCTGCGTGCAGCCCTGACGGCTGGACTGCCCGGGAGGACGTGGCACTTCGGGAGATGTGCCAGCGTCGCGGCGTCCCCATACCAAGCCGCATTTCCGGAGAGAGTACTGTGCGTGCTGCTGTCCCGGATTACGCAATCCGCAGTTTCACATCGTAGCAGCAATCGGCCGCGCGGGAGGGGTCGATTTCATGCGGCTGCCTGATCGCACCATGCGTTGGGCGCCAGTAGCCGTACGCCACGAGGCGGGCATAGCTGCTTGGCAGCCGAGCTGGGTTTGCATGGGTTGTGCCCAAGCCGAACAGCTCGGTGACCTGTCCATCCCGGCTGAGGCAGGCAGTCCATGTGACCGCTGCGGGAGCACCCTCCTTTGGGAATATGACCGCGTCACTGGCGTGGAGGCCTTCGGCTGCCCTCAACGGTGCGCCCGGCCTGCTCGCGCGCCCGCACCCGTCCGAGTTGCGCCCCCTCCACAGCCACCAGCTCAGACCCTAGGCTCCGGGAATTACTGCCAAGCCCGCGTGGCGGACCCGCAGCGCGTCAACCTGAGCTGCCAGCACCTGCCGGATCACATGGGGTGCCTGAACCGCTCATCTTGCGCCCCGAGTGCCCGCCGCGACCCAACGCACATCGTCCGGAGGCACATGTGCATTTGTCCCGGAGTACATGGTACGACCGGGGGCCTCCCGAACATGGCGTGCAGTCACCATCAGTCACCCACCAATTCGTGGCTGTATGTGCCGCTCCTCCATGGCGCGATTGGAATGCTTTCCGATCGGGCACTCGCCCTGTGGCGGGCGGAGGAGCGCCCTTCGCCACAATGGGAAGAGGCTCGCCGGGCGCTGGCGGTCTCGGCCCCAGTTCCAATTGCCGCACTCACGGAGGCATTGATCGCAGCGGCCAGCCACCGCAACGAGGACTTGCCCCAAGCCGCTCTCGAAGAGGCGGCAATTCTCCCGTCCAGCACTTTGGTGCACATCGGATGGGGGATGCGCCACATTGCTCACCCCGATGGTTACATCAGCGCAGCGGGCCAAGAAGTGTGTCTAATGTTGTATGGCGGCTCGGCGTTAGCAAGCGCGCTTGACCGCCTGTCGGACGCGTTCCGCACAGCACTGGCACCGCCAGCCCCGGCAGCGCCCGCCTGCCGTCGTTTGACGCTTGTGTACGGGGATCTCTCAGCAGCGGATGCGCCATAGATCGGGCACGCGGACGGAGAGGAACAGACGGCTGCTCCGGAACCTGCGCACACCACACAGGCGCCGGTGGCCGAACACCCTTCACCGGGGAGGGCGGATAGCGAAGCCGAGACCGTCGGAGCCGCTGATGGGAATGGCGCCGCCCGTCGGCAGCCCTGCCCCAGCATGGCCACGAGCCGCCTTGGCTTGGCTAGGCACCATCGACCTTGCGGACGCATTCCGCGAACGGTTGCCGACCATCCGCACGGTGCCCCGATTCCTCACAGCGGGGGTGCGCAGGTGCCTGACCCGTTGCCTCAACGATCTGCAAATCGCTTATCGGCGACGTGATGGGGCTGCCCGAGAAGCAGCGTGGAAGCTGTTTTTGCTGGCTCCGCGTTTGCTATTGGCGCGCTGCCGTGACACCGGGCCAGTCGGGCGAGCCGCTCTCCTGCGCCGCGTTGAGCTCTTTGAGTCGGGCTTGTGGGAACAGCTGCTGGAAGAGGCCCGAGCGGGTGCGCCTACGGGCCAACGCAACCCTCCCCGCACCAATTCAGCTGTGCTCGAGGAAGCTTGCGAAAGGGTGCGGCAAGGACAGCTGTCCCGAGCGCGCCAAGCCCTCACAGCAGCTGCGCTGGCCCCTGGCACTGATGAGACTCTCCAGGCATTATCGGATCCCACCCGTCGGCCGCCATCGCGGCACCGTGAGATACCTGCAGAGGTATTGAGCCATGAGCCGGCAGAGGCCGTCACCTTGTCGGTCCAACAAGTCGCGGAGTCACTCCGTAGCGCCAGGCGAGGGTCCGCACCAGGCCTGTCGGGGGCAACGGTAGACCATTACAAGTTGCTCTTGGACGACCCTGCAGCGCTCGAGCTCCTGGCTTTTGCAGTCAACTGCCTTGCGCGGGCTGACGTGCCGCCTGTCATTGTCCAAGCCCTCTCCCTGTCAAGGCTACCGGCCTTGCGCAAGCCAGGAGGCGGCGTGCGGGGCATAGCCACAGGTGATGTCTTCCGCCGGTTGGTATCCAGGGTGCTCGCACGTGCCTTCGCCAACGTTTTCGACGAGGCCACCCGGCCACATCAGTTCGCTCTCCGCACTCGGGCAGGGACTGATAGCCTTGCGGCGATGCTCCGCGCAGCCACCGAGCTCGACCCGGATGCAACCATAGTCTCACTCGATGGCCGTGTGCGTATGACAGCGTCAGCCGCGCAGCCATCATGGGCAAACTCAAGGAGGTTGCGCCCCAAGTCTTGCCTTTCGTCCGGTCCCTGTACGCACGTGTCTCCACATACTTCTGGTGGGACGACGACGGCCGCTGCCACGAGATCGCGCAGGCCGAAGGGGTCGAACAGGGCGATAGCTTGAGGCGGGGGAATTTTTGGCAGCCTTCTTGGACGACATCTACGTCGTCACATCACCGTCGCGTGCCCGCGACCAGCTGGATGCTGTCACAGCCACCACTGAGCGCGAGGCCGGGGTTGCTGCAAACCTTGGCAAAACGCGCGTATATCATGCCCGCGGCGGCCCCCCGCCACCAGGCATTCGCGAGCTCGGCGAGGAAGTTTGGTCCTGCAGAGCGCGGGTTTGTTGCTTTGGGCGTGCCGATCGGCCACCAGGAGTTCATCCGGTCGTGCGCCAGCAACCGCTTGGAAGAGGAGCGCCGGCTGCTGGCCCAGTTGCCCCAGCTCCCGGACCTGCAGTGTGCCTGGCTGCTGCTCCTTTTCTGCGCCGCTCCCCGAGCTCAGCATCTGCTGCGTACCGTTCCTCCGGCCGCCATAGCCGAGTACGCACGGGCGCATGACGATGAAGTTTGGCGGACGCTACAGGACATGCTGGGAGGTCAGACCGCTGATGCAGAGCCAGGCCCGCGATATTGCATTCCTGCCTGCCTCCCTCGGGGGCCTGGGCCTCATGCATGCCGAGCGCCTTTCTCCCGCAGCTTACTGGGCAGCATGGGCGGACGCATTGCCAGTGCTGCAACAACCGTGCCCAAGGAGGCGGGAGCGCTGTCTACAGGAGCTCCAGGCCGGTAGCCAGGCCGCGGCGCCAAGCCTCCAGGCCGCCGCGGCTGCAGGCGATCCAGGTTGTCCGGGAGTGCGATCCGGCCAGAAGGCAGAGTTGTGCCACAGCAGTGGCTGGCCAACACCACGGCACCAGGGGTCGCAGCAGACGATCGACGACGGCTCGATTTCGTCATCTATGGTGCTGCCGCATGCGGCGAGGCCCTGTGCTGCCATGCAACACTTGTGTCACCTATCCGACGCGATGGCAGCCCCCAAGCGGGAGCGCCTGAGCGGGATGGGGTCGCAATTGCGACGGCACAGCGCCGCAAGCTGGCACGTTACCCCGAACTCACTCGCGGTGGCCCTCATCGCCTGTGTGTTCTTGCCGCTGAGGTCGGGGGGCGCTGGAACAACGAATCCCAGCACTTGGTGCAGCGCCTCGTTGCATTGCGTGCGCGCCGTGCCCCTGCCACGCTGCGCGCCACAGCCTCGCAGGGTTGGGCAAGGCGCTGGTGGGGTTGCCTTGGCGGTTGCGGTCCAGCGAGCGACATGCAGCGCTGTCCTCGGAGTCTGGACAATGCCTCCGCTGCCCACAGCCGAAAACGACGTGCCGCTAGCTGAGGTCCTCCAGTTCGCAGCTGACACGGCGCCGAGCAGGCTGCCGCTGCGATGAGGCCTCGCGGCCAACGTGTCGGCCGTTGGCTTCCCGTTGTGGATGTTGTGGCCATGCCTGGGACCTGGACTGTCGTCGTGCAGGCGGAAAAAAAAACCTCCTCGCGACGAGCCTGTCGATCTCACCAGGGCTGGCAACGCTTGGCATCCCGAGCCGTCGATGATACCGCAGCCGCCCATCTTTGGCCTTTCATTGACAGCGCTTCACAGGCGATCCTCGAGTCGCAAGCTGGCCCATTTGCGCTCCCCACGTCCTGCCGGGTTCCGCCTCGAGCCCGCCTCCTTCCGGTTCCTGCTCCTCAGGCGATTCCGGCTGCCACTCCCCCTCGACTCTGCCAGGTGCCGCTGCCGCGCCCGGCCTGATCAGTACGGCGACCACCGCGCTGCTTGCCCACGTGTTGGACTTTTGCGCTCCTGGGGCATCCCGCTTGAGCGGGCCGCAGCCAGGGTCTGCCGTGAAGCCGGCGCTACCGTCGCCACCAATGTCCTCCTGCGAGACCTCAATGGCGTCGTCGATCGCCAAAATGACCGCCGCTTCGAGGTGATCGCCAATGGTTTGTCGTTGTGGGGAGGAGTCCAGCTTGCCGTCGACACCACCGTAGTGTCCTCTTTCGACAGCCTTGGCCGCCCCCGCTCCCATGCACGCAGATTCCGCGGGGCTGCCACGCAGATTCCGCGGGGCTGCCCTTCGGTACGCTCGCTTTGCCAGAGAGCGAACGTATCCCGAGCTTCTCCGCGCCCCTCGCTGCCGCCTCGTTGTCCTCGCCCTCGAGCTTGGCGGCCGGTGGAGCCCCGAGGCCGCTGAGTTCATTCGGCTTCTGGCGCGCTGCCGCGCGCGCTCCGCACAACCTTTGCTGCGCAGCGCGTGTGTAGCTGCATGTGTCCAGCGATGGTCGGCTGCCATCAGCTTCGCCGCAGCCAAGGCCTTCGCATCCACTTTGCCCTCGCTGCCACTCCACGCAGCGGCCGACGTCGACGGGCAGCCGCCCGAGCTTAGCGACCTCATGCACGCAGATCGTCTCTTCGATGAGCCTTTGCCCAGCCGCCTCCCCGCGCGCAGCTAGCTGCAGCTAGCTTGCCGGCGGCCCGCGCATCCAAGCTTGCCTTGCCCGCCTTGGACCTCTGTGGACTGCCTTGGTCTTTCTTGCGTGGCCCTGGACTTGGTCTTGGCCTTGCCTGTGCACTGGGACGGCGCAGAACGGTTGCAAAAAGGTCCGAGGAAAAAAAAAAATCCCAGGAGCTCTCCGACGTAAATTTCGTTGGCATCATGTGAGGCAAGCTTTTCCAGCCATGAATGGCAGACATCTGACACAACAACTTCAACCCGATGATTTTGCAGACATTTTTTTTTCCTTCGGGACGTTTTCCAACTGCACGACGATGTCTGGTCCCCCGTAACTACCCCACCTACGGGCCAGGGGCCGCACCGCCAGGGCATGAGTGCGGTCCCTCGCGGCTCGCGCAGCTCGGGCGCATCCCTAACGAGGTTGCGCCCGCCAGCAAGTGGGAGCTCAACGAGGGTCGCAGCAAAAGCGCGCTGCGCGGCAATTGCCAACAGCCCAGACCGACGTGCAACCCACGCCGACCGCGCTGCCAGCCGTAGCGCAGCCGACGCGGTGGAGGAGCGGTGCGGTGCTGTGCTAACAAACGGAGCCATGTGGCGGCTTCGTTCTCGTGGTGCGCGGCGCCACGCCATGAGGAGGGGCACTTTGCTGTGATTCAACCCGCCCGCCGTCAGGACAGCCAAGGCGTTGGTGGGGTATGCTGGCAGTCGCGGTCCACTGGTGGTCGCAAGCACTGCGCTTGGCTGCGCGTGGCAAACGCCACCGCACCCGAACAGGCTGACAGAGCCGCCGCTTGAGAGCGTGCTCGACCTCGCATCCCCTGCGGTGCCGGGCCGGCCCTCTGAGAGGCGTGTAGGGTAGCAAAAGGAGCCTCGACCTCCGGTCATTCATCATGGAAAAAAGATCCGACAACACGTCCCCGATGCTGGGCGCCGTGGTGTGAGCGAACCATTGTTGTGGGAGGACTTGGCCATGTGGCCCAACCGCTTCGCTCGTGACCACCATGCAACCCAAGCTCGCTCAACCATCCTGGCAAGCAGACCTGTACGGGTGCAGGCAAGCGCGTGGTCCCCAAGAGAGCCAACCCGGTGTCCGCACCCAAGTCCCTCGCCACATCGATTCGGGCGGGAAGCGAAATCGGCGCCGCAACGCCAATTGCATGGCGTGTGGTTCGAGCGTCATCGCCGGTTCGCTGGGCGTGGTGGTGAGCCATGCGCCCGCGTGAGCGCCGCCCTGTGGGCGCAACAGCGCCTGGGAGTGCAACAGCGCCATGGAAACCGGGCACAGCGCTGGCAACAATTCGCCTTCGCGATAATGGGTGTTGCGAATCTGACGCGTGTTGCTGCCAGCCCCGTGGCCTGTTTCCGGGGTTTGCCTCGGTGTGGGGGGACCTGGCGCCATCGCACGCCTCCTTCCAGTTGGGGCGGTCCTCGTCTTGCATGCCCTTCTGTGCGCCCGCTGCTTCCTGCAGGCAAGGTGTCCACCCACGCAACCCAGTAAGCGCCAAAGCTGTGTGCTTTGCGCCCACTGCAACCCCAGACTTCCCATATCGGCGGGCAGGGTTGCAAGCCGCCGGGCACCGCCCCAAGCAACCCCCCCCAAGCCAGCCTGCGAAGTCTCCCCGGTGAGGCGCAAAGCGTCAACAGCGGCCCATGCCTGGACGTGACGTATTCCGCATGCCCGATGGGCGGGCCCAGAACTACGGCGCCCTTTTGGAGCGGCGGTTTGTCGCCCCGCCATACGTCGTGGCCGCTTCTATGCTTGGCGGGCCCTCGGGTCCAAACACCCGAATTTTGCCGAGGTTGGATGCGATGCCGCAATTTTCTCTGCGGCCCGCACGGTTCCGTCAAGTGCCTCCTTGCCGCGGTCCGGCACGGTGATGACGTACAGGTCGTCAAGAAGGCCATGAGGCTGTCGGCCGGATGAAGCGCCTGGGTTGCCCTTTGCAGCGCGTTGTGCTGTCCTAATGCGTACAGAGCGGGGGCCAAAGCATCGCTTTGTTTGCAGCCCTCGCCTTGGCGCACGTCGTGGCGGTGCCTTTTGTTTTCCCACCAACAATACATGGATGGCGAACACGGGGGCATAAAGGAGAAGTTCTCGCGCAACCTCGCGCAATCTGGGGGAGGGGCCGCACGGTACATGCAGTCGTAAGCGTTGCGACCATCCGAAAAACCATGACTGCTTCAAAGCGGCCCTCACCTGGGCGGCCAAGGCATCCGTACCAGCGCGCGCCTGCAATGTGTACTAGTAAGGGCGTTGCCTGGGCGAAGGTGGCCGAACAACTCGTTGCCAAAGTTCGCGACACCAAGCGGCTGAAAACATACTGAGTGCCGTGACGCGGGCTTCGGCAGCTTCCGCGAGCAACTCCGTGGCCTCCACGTTCTGCCTCGACAGTTTGAGATGCTCGGCCTGCATGCGTGACAGGCCGGCGGCTCCTCCTCGGTGTGTTTCCCGGTCGACGCGCTGGGTCCGTTTGTTGCACAAGGGTCTTGCCTTTTTGATCTTCAACTGGAGTGAGAGTTGTGCAATCCGAGGACCAACATGAATTTCGACACGGAAAAACAAAACACACAGATGCCGCATTGCAGACCTGGCGAATGCAAACTTGGTGATCAACACGTCATGGTCATCTGATTTGCCGGAAAGGATTGAAAACTGTGACGTAAAAAACAATGATCGTGTGAGCTGGTACTTTTCGGCACGCTCTGCCAGCCACACGTGTGTGGTTGGTAGGGCGTTTGCCCATGCACCCCAGTACGCTGCCGGCGCAGCCCACTTGGCTGATTGGGGCTTATGGGCTGCCCAGCTCATAAGGCGGGGAGTCAACTAGCCAACATGTTGCTGGTCAATGTGCTTGGCCATTTTGTATACTGACCGTAGACGGTTGTTCAAGGACCGAACCACCTTGCGTCTGTGTTTTGAATCCGTGGTCGGATGCTTCCCGATCCAATCGTATCGACCCTTGCCATGTGCCCAAGTGGTGAGAGGTCGACATGCGGGCTGGCACCGAGCGCTGGGTTTTGCAACAGGTGCCCCCTCACCCTTGCTGCGCCTCTCCCAGGCCGCCTCCGCCCGACCAAACAAGCGCCGAATATGATGTGGATGTCCGCCCGCATGTTTCTCTCCTCAACGGGGCGCGCCTGGTTGATGCACTGCGCATGCGTGCGGCGGGGGAAGCCATACCTTACAGCGGGCACCCGCGCCAGCTCAGCACCCGGCACTTCCGTTGCCCCGGCTTCGTCGCTCCCAACTGCGCCTGCGCCAGCCGCCGACTGCGTCCTCATTGGGCCACCTGACATACCGCTGCGGCCTGCCAGGTACTCGTGCGTGTACGTGCCATTGTTGCTGGATGCTGCCGACATCTTGGCCCCGCAGGCGCGCAATGCCTGGCACACCCATCCAGCATTTGCACCGTGGTGTTCTGGCACTGTCCGGGCCCTCTTAGCGCGACCCTTACTTTCAGTGCACCATGTTGCCGATGTGGCACGGGCCGTTGCAATCGCCAGTCCAGAACACGCTGCCAGCCTTGCCGGCTTGTTCACTGCCCGCCCCATGCCGTTTCTGGCAGCACTCATCAGGCAGGTTAGCCGCGGTGGAAAGAGCTTTTACATCACGGGACCTGGTGTGCGAGGGCCGACGGGCATGCGGCACACTGGGCATCCTGGTGCGACGCATTCCCTGTTGTTCGCGACCGCGCGCCTGAGGTCGCGCAGCGCATCCTGCAGGCACTGCTCGCCCCCGAGGCCGAGCAGACTCTGGCATTGCGAGCCGCCCAGCATGCACTGGTTTACCTACGTGCACAAGGCGTTGAAGTCCCGTCCTGGGAAACCGCTCCGCGGGCGGCGATGAGCCCGCCGATCACTTGCGTGGATGGCAGCGGCACGCGGCCTCTGCCTGCGATGAGCGCGCGCTTGAGACGGATTTTCTTCCCTTGTCACCTGCGTCCCAAACGCTGTTGTTATCGCAGGCTGGCCCACATTCCTCACGTGCCTTTAACGTGCATGAGGAGCTCGTCATCCCCAATGCACAATTCCGAGTGCTCTTGCTGCGTAGGTTGCGCCTGCCCCTCCCGCTAGCACCGAGGCATTGCCATTGCCGCGGCCAGCTTGACGCTTGGGGCGACCATCGCAATCCCACTTGCCCGTGTCTGCCGCGAGGCGGGCGCCCGTGTCGCCCAGAACGTTCGTCTAGCCGACATGAACGTCCATACCCCGGTGCGAGACGCCAGGCGCATCGAGGTGGTGTGTGGCATGGTGCGCAACTTGCCATTGATGCCACCATCGTTAGCCCCGTTACCAGGGCCGGAAAGGCGCGGGCCAATGCTGATGCCCGGCCAGGTTTGGCCCTCGACCAAGCTGCCCAGCGCAAGCGCCGCCACATCTACCCTGAGGAGCTTGGGACTGACTGCGGAAAAAGGTGCGTGTGCAACAAAAATATTTCAGGCTAGCTTTCGCGGGCCCGCCACCACGTGTTGAATGCGGCCGACCTCGCACCAGGGACAGAACCACTAATTAGCACCGGAAAAGCCTGGCGTAAAAGCTAACCGACCCCGTGCGGCTTTCAGTGTGGGCCGTCACCTCTTCTGTGCGTGATGCTCGGTGGGGGGGCGTTCCCGGACTTTCAGGCATGCGTGCTGAACACCTGAAGTTGTTGCTCCAAGATGCCGAAGCCCAAGACCTACTAGACTATGCGACCACACGCCTGGCCCGTGCACAGATACCTCCCGAGGTTGCAGTCTGCGTCGCCATGGCGCGGCGCCCGGCCCTACGCAAACCCGACGAGGGCGTACACAGTATCACGACCGGGATGTGTTCCGTCGCCTGCTGGTTCGCATTTTCGCCAAGCAATGGGCAACCACTGTCGATCAGGCAACACGCCCTTACCAGTCTGCCATGCAATCGCGGGCAGGCACAGACACACCGATTGTCAGCGTGCGGGCTGCCCTGGACACGCAAAACGATGCGGCTGTTGGCCTGCTCGATGGCCGGAGCGCTTACGACAGCATCTCGCGCGCCGCATTTCTCACCAAGTTGCGGGAGGTGGTGCCACCATTGCTGCCGCTCGTGTGCTTGTTTTACGGCCAGCCGTCGCAATATTGCTGGTGGGATTCCAGGGGCCTGCTCCGCGAGATGCCGCAAGGTGAAGGGCACGAAGAGGGTAAGCCTGCCCTTTGCCAACAAATCCATGCCCATTTGCAAGGTGGTTGGTAATGCATGTGGCGATCTGCTTGCTGAAATTCCGTGCACATGCCGTCCAAACCAAGGGGCATTGCACTGTTGGAGTAGTTTAAGTTACGAGGTTTATGGCTTCGATTCTGGAAATTTTGTGCCGAGTCCAATCAATCTCCAGCTGGTCTGGTTTGATTCCTGGTGCCAAGCAATGAGCATGGCAGCGTATTTTCGGAGAAAAAAATTCCAAGGACATGGATTACATAACAGAAATTCAACATCGGCACATGCTTGTTCAGGCCAAATGCATGACATGACATCGTTCAAGGTTGCACAGGGTGCTTGCCCAACCCTGTGAACTGATTGTTGTGTTGTATGTGCAACGCCAAAAGTTAATTGCAAACCCAGAAATTAGACGTTGACAAAAAAATAACACTCCGCTTCTTGATGTTCATTTTTTGTTTTTCGCATTTACCGTATCTTTCCCGTTGCTTTCTTTAAGCCAACTTTTGAAACAGTTGGGATTTTCGAAGTCCACTTATGGCTCACATGGCGGACTGGAACCGCAAACGTGGGTGGGGAAACTCAAAATAACATGAGACTGGAGGGTAAGGCAAACACCAGGTATTTGTAACGCAGTGAGGTGACAACATCATCACAGACAACAGCAGCAGCAACAACAACACCATGGTGCGGCGAAGGTAGGAACGCCTTCTCCTTGATTGGTCTGCAGGTTTTGAACTCAGTCGGGCGGTGTGATATATGATGATGGCAGACAAGCTCTATGTGAAACAACACGCGCACGTCTATGCATGGATGGTCAGGTTTTGCCTGGATTTGGGGTTGGTGGCAGATGCTGGCCACGGTCCTTCCACTCAGCTTTGACAAACGGGTTGTGCAACATGCTGGCAAGCTTCTCCTGTGCCAGGCATTCGGACCACTTCATTGCAAAGGTCTTCCGCTGCCTCCTCCGGATCAAGCAGGGACACGTGGAAAAGAAAATTTCGAGGCAAAGCTGGCTCCTTGCTTGATGGTCCTGCCACATGACATGTCGTGGGTGCCCGGAGGAGGTGGCCAAGAATTTGCGCCGGGTTGAGACCACGCCCCTCAAGCAAGCTCGCATTGATGCACAGGCACATGCTCACAAACCAGAAGCACACCCCCTGTTTACTTGATTCAAGTAGCTGTGCAGGCAGCTCGGCTCCTGTTTGCAGCGGGGGAATCGCCAGCGCAGATTGACAGCAGACAGGACATCATTGACCCACAGGCAGCGGATTAAGAATCAAGTGACGGCGGTTCACATCCTATGCGTCAGATTTGCAGGCATCTCACATAGTGTTCACTGCGGATGAGTCCCCTCCAATTGACAAAAGACAGGACTGGATTGACCCGCAGGCAGAGATTCAATAAATGCTGGTGGTGCGTATTTCATGCAGTCCGTTTGCAAGCAGGCCGCCCGTCTACTGTTTACAGCAGGGGAGTCGCCAGAGCAGAATGACAAACGACAGGCCAGTTGCCGGCTGGAATGTGGCATGAACATCCGATCTCCTAGCTTATCTATGTCCTTGATTTCTAGCTTGTGTAGCGAGACATGCCATTCCCTGCCATCCGTTTTGAATCATGACCAGACATGTGCACAGGCTGTTCCAGTCAATGAGCAGAACCAGGCAGCAGTTCTTGCAGCTGTGCAGCGTGATTTCGAGAATCGGCTGCAAGCCAATACTGGAGACATGGAGTCTCGGATCGCAATTCAACGAATTGGCGGGATAGAGTTCACATTCTTCAGTTCAGACTCATGTTTCGTTGCATTGGAGGGCGTGAAGAGATGAATGAAACATGGCAGGTTGGCTTATGGTGTGAGTATGTGCAGTGGGTGGAGCAGCACTTCCCCAAGACAGATCAAGAAGCCAACATTTTAGCTCGTGCCTGCTCCTGGAACGCATTACGGTGGAAAGTGGACACCAACAAGTGCCAATTGCGTGATACAGGCTACTCCCTCACGGGCGACCCGGCGCTGAAGGATGACATTCGATACTTGCGCCTTTGGGTCCGGCATGCCGCACTTCTTCCAGACCCAGACAAGGCTGCCCTGCTGTGGCCATGGAGATGTCCCAATGATCCTGCAGAAAATGCAGGTTTTCACGTTTCTTCGGCAGGAAGGCTCGTTTGCAATGGAGACCTGCATGCGTGGCCGGCTGAAGCTTTGAGCGTAAACCATCAGGCATTGGAACTTGCCATGCCTTATTCTACGAAGCAGTGGCGGCCAGCCTAGAGCGGCAGCATGAATTCCAGAAAGTGGAAGCCGTGCAGCTTGGCCTTCCATTTTTGAGTCATCTCATTTTTGCGCACGCCCTGCATATACTAGTATGGCTGCCTACAGCAGAGGTACAAAGAGGGAATTGAGCGTGCTGCCGAGCCCCAGCAACGACTTCAAAGCCGATTTAGTGAGTTCCAGCGGCGGATGGCAAAGCGTGCAGCTAGAGAAGGCTGTTGTTGTTGCACATGGGGTCTCAGGGTTTGGTATTGGCAGACACGGATGCCACATAACAATGCTTAATTAGTCTGGGCTAGAAACTTTTTGTGCTTGGTCTCCTGCCATTCCGACAGGCCGACAAAAGCAGCACGTGCCATTAGTGCAGGCCTGAAGTTCTTGCACCTCTTCATGCTGCACATGAGCACTGCATTGCAAGTGGAGCTGCCAGGATTTGAGTCCGCGCTCACCGATGCCCCGATCAACTGAAGAACAGAGATTCCTGCAGAGCACGTACAAACAGACACCAGATGTGCTCACCAAGAGAAGTCAGAAGGAAGGTCCGCGAGATTCTTTGGAGACGGCTGATGCCCCTCGCACACCGGGCCACATTGAAGAAACCCCCGGCCAATCAGTTCCAAGATGGAGCTCATCCACCCTGCTGCTGGAGGAGGAAGAAGAGCTGCCAGTGCATGATCAAGCTTTCATCTCGATTCTGCCTCAGCAAGAGGACTCAGATGATGTGTCTGTAGAGGAGATGCAGGCCGCAAGGATCTTGGCGCGACAGGATCCTGGCCTGGCTGGACGTGCATCAGACATCCTGGCAGGGGCTCCCTCAAGCATGACTCAAGAGTCTACTGGCGGCTTCAGAGCCTTGTTTTCTGATTCACGCTTTTCGCGGCGCTCATCAGCTGGATCCGTGTTTGACCCCTTCGATGATCCTACCTACACGGCTGAGTTGGCACAGAAAGAGGTGCTTGCCCTGCTTGCGTGTGATCCCTATCATGAGCCTGTGCGGAGAAATTCGGTGCACTTGAAGCCACTCGTCCGAGTTGGGCAGCCTAGAGCTAAAGGTGTAGATGCACCAAAAGCCTGGGGGGAAAGTGGCTTTGAAATCTTTGATGAAGGTGGCCTCGGTTAGCTTCTTTGGCCAAAATTCGCAGTGTGCAGACAGTGTGCAGATGCAGACGCTGGAATTCAGGTTCAACACCCAGAAAAGCCGTTGTGTCCGCCTTGAGTGATCACGGATCACAGAGTCACAGAACAGGGCCGGGTGCGAGCTTGACAGTTCAAGCAGTTTGCAGTTGGCTCGAAGCCTGAGCCACCAAGAAGCATGAGATTGTTACGCTGCTTCATGTCCGTCCCCCTACTCACGTAGTCCTGTGTGGTTTGGACTTTCATTGTTTGGAGTTGTGCTTACATGTTGACAGCCGTGCTTCATGGGAAACGCAGCTCAATCCGCAGCCCTAAGCGCGGATGCCGCTTGACCGAGCTGCTCCGTTCTCTGACAGCAAGAAGGCTGTGCAAGAAGCTTCGGATATGGCACGAGAGAGCCTGATGTCGAAGTCCTGGATTCAGAGCAGGTAGTATGTCATGATCAACCAAGGGCACGTTTACATACTCCGTCAGATGCGGGTTCGGAGCATATTCGAATAGTTCGTGCCTCAGATTTAGCAGCCATGGAATTAGAACGTGGCCCACGACCTCTGCGCCATTCCGCGTTTGTAAGGTCAAGACGCAGCAGCTGGTCAACTATTTCCAGACAAACTACAGCAGCTTTCTTGGAGGCCGCTTGCTGCTGGGTACTTGCTTGCTTGTCCGCTGCTTGCACTGTTGGCGCGCAATCAAGCATGGCAAGCTATAGCAGCTTCTAGATTGTAATTGTCAGCCTCATCATCGGAGGCCTGCTTGCTGACCATGGAGCCCCACAACCAACGCCAATGTGTGCGCCAATCTAGCTTTCCGGTGCGGCAGAGGTGTCCCTTCCGAAGCTGCCCTACAGGTGGCACAACGCTGAAGAGCTTCACGTGTGCATCTCCACGTCCGCACCGTGATGTGGACTTTGAGGGGCGCTACCGCCCTACTTCTGGCAACGGAAGGCTGAGACGTAGTTGTGACTCAAGACCAGTTGGCCCAAGCAGCGTCCCATCCTGTCTATTGAGGAGGCGCGAGCAGGATCAAGGCTTGAACCATGGCGCACTTTGCGATTTCTTAGAGTGGGACTGCTCGGAATTGTGCAGCCATGTTGAGGCACAGCCGCTGTGCCTCTGTCCGCCCGAGCTCATGGAGGACACGGCAGCTCCCTGCAGGCGCCTGCGGATATGCCCTTCCATGTTCAGGGTATTGCTACGAGAGACCTGGCTCATGCTCATAAAGAGGTGTTGGAATCACCCCGCACCCCTGGTCGTAACCACCCCTTGCCGCTGGAATGCAGTCTACCATACATTTCCAAACTACCCTGAAGACTACAAGCAAGAATCGAAGAGCTAAGGAGCACCAGACCTCGCGGAAAGGTAAAGATCGACCTCAGCCGCTTTTCTGCACGACGGCAGGCCGAGCAGTTCTCTGCAACATGTCTGATTGACTCCCTTGACGCAGGTAAAGACTATGGAAAGGATCCCGGTCCAGAGTCGAATGAGGTGGCTTCAAAGGCTCGGCAGACTGCTGGAAACAGCTGAGCTGGCAGCAGCTTTCGGCAGCTGTCATTTGCGCCTGATCGCTTGCGCTTTTGCTCACCCTTTGTTAGGACGATGATGAGCTTAGAAAACGAGAGGCGAGTGAGAGCCTGCAGCTTTGTTGAAATTCAGACTTGATTGAGCGAGGCATAGGTTTGCTGCAAGTGGACCCAGGCGGATGCTAGTCCTTGGAACGCCTGGCGCGAATGCTGAGCATTCAGATAAAGAGTCTGAGTGGCACATCATTGCTTTTGCACGGCCCTTTGATGCCTCATGTGCTGAGCTTGACCGTGCGGTGTGTCGTTTGCCTGCTAAGCCCCACACACCAAGCCCGTGTTGACAAGAGCAAGTCGCTGAGCGCTTGCGACGCAGCCTGCCGTGGCGTGGCAACACGTCGCGACACAAGTCTGAACCTCCAGAACTGTGCCAGTCAGGAATGGGCTGCTCAGCACCGTCGGGGAACCAATGAAGAGGCTTAGAGCTCCGTTGAGGGTTTGGACAGCCGAAAAGTGTGCTTGCTTGCAATTCGCATGCTCTTAGGTGGAAACTTTCTGCAGATGCTGGTGCCAGATGGATGCAGATAACGATGGTGACGTAGATTTGGAAGAGTTTGCCAACTTCTTCAGCAAGCGGAAAGTTGACAGGTGCCTTTTGTTCTTGAGCCGACATGCATCCCGTGCCTTTAGTCGTGATGTTTCAAGCAGAGCACTTGATGTCCCTGCTTGTGAATGGAAAGCTCCCACAGGCTGTTGGGCATGCGATGTATCCGCTACCTAATGCCCCGGGCAGCTTCGCAAGGCAAAACCTTGGCCTCCAGGATGTTGGTGCTAGCATGTTTTTTTGATTCACGTGCATAAATGGCCTAAACTCAGGCAGCAGTCCAGTCGCCAAGTGATGCAGGACATTTGTACTAAGTCTAAGCGCTAGCGCGCGTCCGCCTCCGTCTTACAAAGTAAGAAGGGTCTGGCAAGGCTTCGGGGGGGGGGGGAGGAGCTGACAAAGCATGAACATGACATTGCCCTCTACGAGTGTTGGGGCGGTTTAAATCTGGGGTGGGAGGGTAGGGAGAGGTGGAGAAGGCTGGAAAGTGGCCGGAGTGTTCCAGACGCCTGTTGGCCAGAGGCTGAGGTGAATTTGTCGTCCAACAACATCAGATACCCGCAGCATGATGGCAATCCAAGGTTAGCAAAGACGACATGATGCGTCTCCTGTGGCCCTACGCCACGGCAGAAGACATGGACTACATGTGCATCGTTTTCGACCATTGCAGGCAAGTATCCCTTCCCTTTTCACTTTCCATAGGTTTTGCCCTTTTGGCTTTGTGAAATTGATTCAGTCTTGCATCTGGTTGTTGGTGCTTGTATCCAGTAGGTGTCGGTGCTTTTCACAGGATGGCAAGTTCTCTCATGTCTCGGTGCAAGTGTTGCCACTGCTCGCAGGCTTTGCACAATAGCAGTGCAGCCACCGAAGCTTTTGCCACGGAAGCGACGTACCGAGCTGCTGAAATGTTTCCAAGAAATGGACCGTTGCTTGGTGAAGATTGTTTGTGAGGCAGCTCTTTTTTTCCTACTCGCCGTTGCAAGCTGCCACATTCGCAGCCTATCCTTCTTTTCCAGACTGGCACGCCCTTTGCTTGGGATGCGCACTGCCCCCAAGGAAATCACACTGGCCTGGAGCCTTGATGGCATTCAAGACGCTGCCGAATGCTGGGCAGGGTTCGCAAGCATATACTAACATATACCTGCAGCAAGGTACCGTACAATGACTTGATCCCTGCCGGGGTTGCAGATCAGAACATGGTCAAGGTCCTTCGTGACAAGTATGACATTACCAGGCCTGCTTTCATTCCTCCCCGGCGGCGTGTAAGAGAGCCTCCTACACTACGGTGCAGCATGTGCACCCGACAGATAACACATGGGCATGATGCTGCCCCTGACAGTAGCGGCTTCTTCGACAAGAACAGCTTTTTGGAGATGATGGCGCCGCTAGGATATCGAGCACATGAATCAATGCGCTTTGTTGTGCCCAAGCTGAGGTAGACTTTGACGTCAATATAGGTGCTTATGCAAGCACAAGCTAAGGTGCTGAAGGATGGTAAACGCGTGCGCTTCATTGAATGGTCCAGAGAAGGTTTGCGTTTCGAAGGATGGCTGTGCCTCGCCATAAATATTCTGTATCTGCACAAGGGATCATGATATCAGTCAAAAAATGAAAGTAAGCGTTGATGGCTGGAGAGTTGTGCGCAAAGCTACGTTGTTCGTCATGCTCGCTGCCTCCCAAGGGGGAAAACCTCAGGACAGAACGACATTATGAAAAGCTGAAGGAGCACTATGGATTTGAAGATGATGCCTGGGCAGGTGATTAGCCCCGCTTCGCGCGGGACTGCTGCTGTTTGGCAAGTCTCACTCAGAAGCCATTTGGCCTGCTAGAGTCCTCCTTACCCGGACGATGTAGTCTTTGCATACGCATGTTGCACTGTCTAAGTGCCAGTGCAGACTCTGTGCGCGTGCCAACATGATGCGAACCATTTTGGGGTGCCACATCTTTCACAGCACAGCAGCAGCACGTTTCAAATTGCATCCCCGTGGCCTTCATAGCCTCAAGAATGCAAAGGCCAGCACAGCGCTGAAATGGATTTGGTAGTTTCGTACCAGACATACCTATAACATGATAATGCATGTAAGGGAAGCGGCAGAGCAAGCCATAGATGAGCATGTCCATGCCTTGCGCATCTGGAGTATTTACCGAGGCCAAACAAGTGAACACCTCCAAGTTAGGGCACTTTGTGATGGAGATTTTGGTGTCGACTCATCCTGGCATTTCAGATGACTGCATTGTGCAAGCCTCAGGCGTGACTGTGTATCCAAGTCTGACTGATCAAGATGCCGACATGCTCACATGTGCTCGCTTGAGGTGAGGCATGAAGGTTTCAACCTGGGACGGAATAAATGCTCCAAGGTCTCGGTACGCTGCGGAACCACCCGCCGTCAGGCGTGTACGGGTCATGGCATAGTTCCCAAAATTCACCGAGGTTTCCGGCTGTGTCTTAGAGTCTTATCCATGAAGTGCAGGCACCGCTCGATGTCGCTCGGTGCCAGGCACTGAAATTTCCGAGCCGGTGTCTTAAACTTGAACTTGCCATGTCGCCAGTGGTGAAAGCTGCTCCCTTCTAGATTGGCCATCGCCCGCCGTTGGGGCAAGTGGTGTTTGTCCAGCCGCTTTTTGCTGGGTTTCACTTGCCAAGGAGGAAGCAAGTTGCCAAAGTCTGCGAAAGTAGGTTTCAGAGGCTTTTGAGACAGGGTTTACAGCAGTTCTGTTGTTGGCCATCGAAATCGCTCCAGTTAACCTTTGCCAGTTGTCTCCTAATCTAATCTCTTAATGAGAGTTGGATTTTCGTTGATGCAGCAGCTGTTCAAATGCGTTCCCAGGCAACCTGGAAACTCTAAATGAGCCGCCGGCAGCTTGTTCCGCTGCATCTACCCTTAGCCAGCGGATGCAGCCAGCTACTAAGGTTGAAGATCGATGTGCTCAAGCCCGTTGCATCGGCTCGCCTAGTTCTACATGCACAGCAGGCTGGTGTCAAAGAGCTGGCTTTCCTGTTGACATGCATGTGGCTGCACTCCATGCCCAGGATGAGTACCTCATGGATTTCTTGGACCAACCAGGATCGGCCATCGGACTAAATGTGAGGCTTGGCGGCTTTGTCATCTCTCTCTCTCTCTCTCTCTCTCTCTATTTGGCAAATTTGAAGTTGCATGATACTGCCACTGCCTACAGGTCCACCTCATCGCAGCCGCCCGAGAGAAATGCGGATGTAGGCATGCCCAGTGATCGTGTCTTCGCCCGCCTCGCGGGCTGCGACAGATGTTGCCCCAAAGTCTTGGCAGGCACAGCTGGCCGATCAGAGAGGACACTCTTGCCAACTTGCTCATTCAGTTGACGGGGGTCTGCTTGGCCTGTGACAGCAGAGCTGCCGCCTTTACTCATACTTGGTCCATTGAGGTTAGTGTGAGCCGGCTTCCTTACTTCCTCATGACCAGGAAGCGTCTATTGCCCTAACAACAAACTACATTATTGTCATTCAGCTTGGACTTGCCATTGACATGAATAAGGAAATAAGCTTGGCCCAAACTGCTTGGTACTCATGCGAAGTTGGTCAGCCCTCTGACCTTTGATTTCGCACGCACTTCTCTTGCAAGCTTGTGCGGCGAGACTTCCGCAACATTGATCGACTATCTGCCTGACAGGAAACAGGGTCAGTCGCAGGGTCCTGCATCTGCTCGCGATTACTTGGAGCTTCATGGAGTGCTGAAGTACGCCTGTGCCTCAGTTGGCGCCACCGAACGAGAGATTAAAGGTATCCTGAGGTTTGGGTTGTGACTGGAATCTGCCAACTTGTGCTGTACCCACTTGCAAACTGCAAACCATTGGACCTTTTCGGTGCCAAGGTCCAAAGCATGCTCACAGCATTGATCCAGGCAAAGCCACAGGACATCAGCTTTGCCTTCCGGTGCGTTGCAGAAGAAGCCCGTGTGCTGCCACTGGTGGTCAGGATCCCTACCTCTTTATGCTGCAGCAGCTGACATCCTCCAAGGCTTACGCCAGGCAGAAGAGTCTCCGCCTTCCTGCGCTTGCCATCGCGTTTGCCGTACCTCTGTACCTCCGTCATCGCAGGCCAGAGACTGACCCAGACACGCAAGCGGCCCCGGTCGTGGCACCTGAGGAAATGGAACCGCCAAAGCCGCGACCTCGCTACTTCTGCTTGGATACCGCTTGGATCCTCTTAGGCAGTCTTGATTTGAAATGGTGTGGGGCACATTCTGAACCACTCCTGGACGCATGGTTTTTGGCTCAAGTGGCGCTCCTTGACCCATCTTCCCGCCCACCCTGATGCAGACAGGAACCGTCAAGTCTTACAACCCCCACAAGGGCAGCTTGCTTGCAAGTTGCGGCATCTCACGTCACATGGTCCGTTTGAACCTGTGAGCTGGCCTTAAGGCTGGGGATTCGTGGAAAGCAACGGCCAGGATAGCTTTCTTTACAAGAAGGAGCTGAAGGGACAGTGCCCTGCAGTGACTCTGTCAGCAGATGGCGCCTAGCTAGTCCGCCTTCGTTCTCGACAGGGTTCTCCCCTTGTGTTCTGAGGCTGGAGATCCGGTGGACTTCAAAGTTGAGACTTCCGAGAAGGGCACTGTTGCAACAGAGGTCACGGTCAAAGTGCCAGCAGAAGAGGCTGGTGTTGGCTTGCTGGACGTAATTCATGTGCCTGCTGGCACTGTGCTCAGGCAACCTACTTTGGTGAAATCAAGCGCTTCAATCCCGCGGCTGCCTCAGGTCACATCATATGCGAAAATGCATCGTGCTTGCGGATCCCAGCTGTTCAGGTCAAGGGGTACGGTTTCATTGCATGTGACGCCTTCCCTGAGCAAGACGTCTTTGTGTTAAAGTCCGAGCTGCCGCAAGGCCAGAGTGCTGCAGTGCTGCGATGGAGAAAGTGACTTGCTTCTTGTGTTCATGGAGGTTTCGGCCCCGAGGGTGGTCACTGCAAGTTCAAGGTCAGCAAGGAAGAGAAGGGGCCCGCAGCGAAGCAAGTGCAGCTCCTGGGAGCTGCAGGGAACCAAGCGCAACAGATGCGAGCTTGGATGGGCGGGTGGAATGGCTGGGGAAAAGGATGGGGAAAGGGGATGTCCCCCATGCCCTTCGACTGGGGCAAAGGCTACGGCAAGGGCTGGGGCAAGTGATTTCATTCTGAACCCCAGGCACTTGACCTGCAGGTTCATGTTCCGTGCAATGCACCCTGTAGACTTTAGTGAACAGCAATGCAGCCTAAGCGCGCGTCATCCCAGAAAGAAAAGAAAAGGTGAGTGCATGTGCTGCCGACAGGCATGAACAGCCTTTGCTGGTGCTGCCTTCTGTCTCGCTTCTTACCATGATGCTTTTGCTTGCTGGGCGCAAGATGTTTCAATAGCAATTAGGGTCGCTGTGGCTGGGTAGCCGTCATCCACTCACAGCCGTTTGAAGCCATGCAGACTGGCACCATCAAGTCTTACAACCCCCACAAGGGCGCCTTGGATATTAAACTGGGACAATGCCTGCCATTCCTTGCCACTTGTGAACACACTTGACTGTCATCAGAGGGCAGGAATTGAGCCTGTTCAGGACGTTGTCCATCTAAGGCTGGGGGTTCATTGAGTCCAACGGCACGGATACCTTTGTCAACAAGAAGGATCTGAAAGGCTTTTGTCCTTCGAAAGGACACCAGGTCCAGTTCGAGGTTATGCAAACCGAAAAGGGCTCCCAAGCCACCAATGTAACAGTCCTTGCGCCTGCGGAAGAGCTCAGCTATTTTGGCCAGATCAAGAGCTTTAACCCAAACAGGGGCTCCAGCCTGAGATCGGTGAAATTTGGGTGATAACTAGGCCCCAAGCGGAGCAAGCAGAGCATTGGAGTCAGAGCTGCGCCGAGGCTACGGCTTCATCACTTGCGAGGCCTTCCCGGGCAAGGACATCTTTGTGCTGAAGTCGGAGCTTCCGGGTGGCTTTGGCCCCACAGGTGGCCAGTGCAAGTTTAAGGTGGTGGAGGAAGGTAAAGGGCCATCCGCGAAGGATGTGATGCTTCTTGGTTCTGCAGGGCACCAGGCTCAGCAGATGAAATCTGCCATGTCCTATGCAGGGCCTGGCTATGGTGGTAAAGGCTGGGACAAAGGTTCCTGGGGTAAAGGTGGAGGCTGGGACTTTTGGGGAATGGATGGTAAAGGTGGCTTCGGTGGCTACGACCCCTGGATGGGCATGGGAATGGTTCCCTCGCCTTGGAAAGGATATGGCAAAGGCTACGGATGGTGAGCATGTGTCACAGGAACTTCCTACCAGCAGACCACAACAGCTGGCCGCAAACCTGGAGGAGGAAAAAAGAGCTCAAAATCAGCGTGATGAGTGCATCTCCTTTTGAGACCACGCTTCTGGCACTATCCCAGGCCTTGTGTCGAGCGGCCCGTCTCGCCGCAGCCGCCTCCGGCCAAAACCTCAGAGGAAAAGTCGCGCCGAGACGCGGAGACATTGCAAAGTTGTGTGCAGGTGTGCGTGCAGGTGCGTGTGTGTAAATTGTGCAAAATTAGTGGACATGCCAAGGGCAACCCCTTCCACCTACCGAGCAGTGTGGCTGGCAGCGGCCACCAAGCTTCCGCTAAGCCTATGGTTCCCGACACGGAGCCCACAGCTTCCACGACGAACGCGTCCACATCCTTGCAGGATGCAGCAACACAGACACAGGCATCGCAAGCAGGCGGCGAAATCGCCCCGCAAGAGGTGCCAGCGCAGGCCTCCGCAGCAACCGCCCAACGGCGAGAAGCACATGGCTCAGCAGCGCTCCACCAAGCGAGTCCTGGAAATTGCGCTTGTGCTTAGGAGGAGTCGCGCGTCCGGCTCCAGACAGTCAACAGCCCAATCACGTGGTGCACATCGGACATGCTCAGCATATGGTGACATGCCCAGGTTCTTTTCAAGGCAAGCCGGAACGGCGTCTTGGAGGAGATTCTGCAGGACGCACCGCTATCAGAAGCCCACCATGGCAACAAGTTTGTTGGGCTCATCCCATGCCTGTTAGGTGAGGAGAATATGGACTCTATACTGTAGAGTAGTGTGGAGCTTAATAATAAGGTAACATAGGGCAATGTGGGGTTATATAAGGTTATCTGGCGTTTTTAAGGAAATACGGTTTAAAGGGAAGCAAGCTGGTTTTTGTATCCCCTGCCAGAACATGTTCTGCTCGCCTGCTTGCACCTGTGATTTAAGCGCATATTGCCACAGCGCGGACCTCAGGTTGGTTTAGCCACCAAGATAGAAACAAATGCCGCAGCTGCGGCGTTGCCAGAAGTTGCAGTCAGGCGGACTCCATGGAGATGGTCTCACAACCACGTCAGCTCCGGGTGAGATGCACGTGCCGCATGCAGATGGGGAGACATGTAGGAGCCAGGGCCTCGGGCATCCCAGAGGTGACAGCGTGAGGGGTGCAGCTGCCTGATTCTTTTTTGAGGCGCCATGGACGCAGGTCAACTTAGAAACCATGTCCGCGAGCGGCTGACAGATGCCTGGTCAACTGGGGAGTTGGAAAAGGCAGTGCAGGAGGCTCGAGAGAGTAGTCCCCCTGCGTGGAATCTCAAGCTGCTTGTTCCGCTATCTTAAATGCTGGGCGGGCTGTTGGTGAAGGCTTTGGAGCAAAGCGGGCCGAGAATCTCACAGGCACGACAGTCGTGGAACAGAACATGTGCTGTCAACACCTCTTTGACAAGGCTACAGCAGAGCAGAGCATCCAGTTCTTGCAGGAGAGCTTCAGACCCAATGCCATTTTCTACGACAGCGCTGTAAATTAGAAACTGGCTGGAAGGACGAAATCAAGATTATGACCGAAGAAAGCAGACTCCTACACGAACAGGTGCGCACGGTAGCTTTTCTGGATTGCCTACGTTCTGCTGCGCATCGCCGGCATCCGCCTTCAGCATGCCATAGCACGGAGCTGTGCTCACAGAATTTGTGCCATGACTGATAGGATCCTCATGGTCGTGTTTGACTACTGTAGCTTTCTTACTTATTATGATGTGTTCATACCCTCACAGGTGGATCGACTTAGTTCTGAAATGCAGCAACTGCTGATGACGAACGAGAAGCGCCTGGTCCGCATCAGCATTTGGCTTTGCACTTCCCTCATTTCGATGCATTTTCTTTGCCAGAGACTGCAGATTTTTATGTAGTGCTCGGTCGGGAAGGCTCCTCAGTCAGATCCAAAGCGCTGAATCTGCGGACAAGCTCAGCCGAGCGCCGTAGAGTAGTACGTTTGCTTGCTGCCAGTTGCACACCTGCCAAGTGTGTTTGTACGCTAGTTTCACCAGATATGATGTTTCACTTGCGAGGAAGACCCGAGTCTCCATGGCATCTTCTAAAGACCGGGGCTCGCTGTGAAAAGAATGAAAAAGGCTTCCGAAGTTTACCCGCAATTGTTCTGACAAAAAACCTGAGCTCCGCATGTTCTGAAAGGCTGTGTTGCCTGCTGTTGATAGGGATGCTGACTGCCGATGTTTTCACCGGGAGTGGGGAAAGGCAGTCCAGGACAGCAATGACCAACTAGGCTTCAAAGTTCAGACATCACAGCACGCGTTACAAACATCAAAGCTTGCAATGGCTGGCAATCTGAATGTCCGTGTTGACCGATGCCAAAGAGGCTAAAGACTACAACGCAGATCCATCTCTATTGAGCAGTTTACGGGGGTGCAGCATTTCTCCCCCTTCCGCTTGTATTATCAGCCCCGAGCTTGGCTTGTGCTTCCTTTGCTGATTTTTTGTCCTCTGCACCCTGCTTTTCTGAGTTGCAGGCAGAGCACGCGATCATCCAAAGCAGGTGAGGGCATCGCAGGCTGAAATCACAACAAGTGTCTGTGTATGAAAAGAACACAAGTTGGCCCCTCCGTCCCTGTAGGGTGTACTGGAGAGGGTCACTTGTACCTATCGGCTCTTCACGTGTTCTGTATCTAAAATTGACGGGACAATCTGAGCTTTGGTCAGGTGGGGCTTGAAGGCCCTGCACATGCCCTATCCTCAGATCGGACATGCATGCTCCGACGCGATGACGCTGCTGATGATGATAGTGATGGTGGGGACGGTGATGATGAAGGCTAATAGCCCTTGAGAGACGGCTCGGAAGGGGACTCAGAGAAATCATTTTTGTGATTTCCCCCCGAGATTCAACTTTCGCATTCAGTTCTCCTCATGACCGCTCATGGTTTCGCATCTTCATACCAGGCGTTTGACTGGACGCCATGGCATCGATGATGCAGGAGGGTAGAGTGTAGTGTCGGCATGAACTGGCTCGTTTCGCAACATGCCGTGCAAGGCCCAGAAAGACCTACGGCGCACAAGCTCAAAGCTTGGGTCCTCATCTCTTGGGACCTTCCCTCAGCGGGCATTAGGTCACAAGCTGCTTTCAGACCCTGCTCTGCATACAGGATGCAGGAATACCAGCCTGTGCCTACAACCGTCAACGGTTGCTACCTTACAGCTTCGTTTTCGTTGCTCCACGGAGACACGCAGTCCACACCGACTGGCAGCAACACGAGGAACAGAAGAGAAGAAGCAAAAGAATGATCTCGAGGCCAAAGTTTGCCAGCAAGCTGCAAACCCCCAAAGTGGCTCATGCGAAGGGCTTCGCCACCATATTTGGCGACAACAAGATCTTAACAAGTCTGCGTGCAGCTTAATCTCTCAAGAAAAGGTACGCTCACAGGCTTGCATTGGAGAGAGAGAGAGAGTGATAGGAGGTTCCACTATCCCTTGATGCGGCAGGGGAAATTCCACAAACGGGTACGGAAGCTGAGGAACTTGTTTGATAGCATCTGTGCTTAGGCTAGTCTTCGTTCCGCTTGGGCTGGCGGCACATCAGCTGCAGATGGCTGACAAATATGCCCAGCTCTCAAAGATGAGCCAGCCTCCTTCCAGACAGCTGTTGGCCTTGTCAGGTTTTCTCTTTCAACTTTGTGGCGATCATCCCGCTAGCATGGCTCATAGGAAAAGCCACAGAGGCGAGGCTGTTTGGATGCGAGTAGCTTGCGTATGTCAAGCTGGACACTGGCCAGGATGTCGCAGCCAGGATAGGTGAGACGGCTGGTGGCCTCTTGAATGCTACCTTTGGCAATGTGGCCTGAGACCAACGCAATGCCTGAGCAAACAGATTCGCACATGTATGCGCGTGCGAGGTCGAGATGCTGCTTTGTATTGTCCTTTCCTCAGAGTCGCAAAGTCGTTGTTGTTTCATTCGCGCTCCTATCTAGAAATTGCCAGCGCAGCGGCGGTTGCAGGCTGGAATTCGGAACAATGAAATAAGTGTGCCTTGGCAGCTCAGGGTAAGCACATGCGCAGTGCAATCTGTGTCTAGCTGGTTCAGGAGGTCGGGAGTGCATTTATTGATTTGCCACCATGAGGTTGTTCAGTGCACTCTGCTCGGGCCAGACGCTGAGCACCTAGAAGTCACGAGGATTCGGTGCTGGGATTGCAGCATGAGGTCTATCCTCAGCAATTTGCTGCTGGTCATGGGCCTGCTGCCCAACGAGATTTCTTCGACCAATTGCGCTGGATAGGCCGGTGATTTTGAGGTTGTGCCTTCCTCTTCGGCGGGCTCTACTTTCCGATCCAGCGGTACAATCAGGTTCGCTCAGCCACGCATTTTCTGCTTGAAGAGTTGGAGCACTTGTTCAGGCCGGAGCTGCCACTCAGTGCTCCTTGATGGCTTCTACCTCAGCTTTCATTCTGCATTCCTGAACCGGTGAAAGAAATTCTTGCAGGCCCTGAGTGTGTTCGCGATTGGCCTGCCCACAATTTATGTTAACGTGCTGAAGCAGGTGCGCCTTGCATATGCCTGAGCAGAAGCTGGGTTCAGGTTCAGAAGAATGCACTTGCTGTAGGAGTCTGAATGGGAGCATATGGTGGAAGTTTCTCGTTGGGATGCCACCTCAGCACGAGCAATTGCCGGAAAGCGTTTTACCACGCTCCAGCATCCATCCAGATAGCAGTTCAGGCTTCGGTCTGCCTCCTCGGAGTCTATTTTGCGCCAGGGCCTGTACTTCCTCATAGTTCCTTTATGCAGAAACTACTGCTACGGATTCAAAGGAAGCAGCGTTGTGACTGCGCAGAGAACGTCGGCTGTCCTTACCGGAAGTATTCAAACTCCAGTTGTGTGAGGTATTTGGTTTTTCAGCTGAAGACGCACGCTAATCTCTTCCAGGACAAAGTGCATGCTTGCAACGCATCTTTCCACTTGCCATCTTGTGTTGCAGGACGAAGGCGGAGAAGACGAGGAGGACAACCGGAGCATGAAGGATGCAGTTGGTTCTGTGGATTCTGCAATCCGTGACAGGAGGAAGAGCCAGACCTTAGCCCGGTGACAGCAGCAATCTTGCTGTTGGCCTTGCCCCCATTTCTGGTCTGGTTTTGCGCTGCTTGCTCAATCGTGCTGGTTTTACAAACAGGTTTGCACCATCGTTACATCTTATGCGACCGATTCCCTCATAGAAGCCATCAAGGCCGAAGTTCTTGAGTTCGGCAGATGCCTGCCTCTCTCCTTATTGTGGAGCTTGCCCAGGGTACCATTGATGAGTGGAAGGTGTCAAAAGAGTTCCAAGCTTGGTTGGTTTGTGATACGTGAGCTGTCCGAGTCTTGTAGTTACTGCTGTGATCCAGATTCATTGGAATCATCCTGCTGCCCATTATCGGCAATGCTGCAGAGCACTACACAGCCATCAAGGCAAGATCATTTGCGCTTCTTCTTCGATTCTGATGGAGCAGAATACGAAGTGCTGCTTCGGTTATCTGCAAATGCCAGGTGGCCATGCAGAACAAGATGGACTTGTCGCTTGGTGTCGCTGCCTCAGGTTGGGCAGTTCTCTCTGAGCAGAAAGCTGTGCAGTTCTCTCTGAGTAAAATAGCCTTGCGGTTCCATTTGCGATTATTCTGCCAAGGTAGCTGCGGGGTCATCGTGCCAGATGGCTCTTCTAGCACGGGCCCAACTTGTGGGCAAATCCACCCCTCTTCATTGCAAATGAAGAGTATGCACAAGTGTGATAGCTGGGCACGCTCTTTGCTTTCTGTCTTTGGTCTGTGTCCGGAGAAATCAACTCCAAGGTAACGCCTTTCACCGTGTTAGTGGGCTGGTGCTATGGCCACAATCTCAGCTTTGTCTTGACTTCAGACGTACAGATGTTTGGTCTCGAGCCTCTGTGCGAATTTGGAACTTTTCTTGCATGTGCTCCGGCTGGCAAGGCACGGAGATGACACTGAATTTCCATGCGTTCCAACTTGCTGCCTGGGTCTTTGTTTCATCCAGACCTGAACTTGTTTTGCAGATGCACGGCGGATTGAATCCTCAAAAAAGATGCAGCAGACATCCGCTTGCACCAAGGTTCTTCTGTTCTCTGTCTTCCTGGTCAACACGATTCTTAACAACGGCCAATCTAACTGGTTGGAGGCTGCTGGTTTTGCCCAGCCGTATTCTTCATCCAAATGAAGACCTGAAGAGTGATGCTTGTGCAGGGCTACATATTGCTGGTGACATATTTTGTGGTTTCCTTGATCTACTTCTTCGAAGGCCGCAGCCCCAAAGCAAACTGCCAACAGAATACCTGTGCCCATGATCTGAGGTGCGGGAACAGAAGACTCCCTGGCCTCGCCCCCAGGGAATCCCAGGGCACTATATGTCGGAACTGCAATCCTTCCATCAGAATGAAAGCGGCGGGTCACCATAGCCGAAGTTCACGTGCTACGCTTTGAGGCCACGGTTGCCTGAGCCGCAGCCTCTGGGCATGATGGGTACCATGTCTTGCGGCGGTGACACTTACAGGACACCTGCCCTTGAGCGCTTCAGACACGCATGCTCTACTGGACGAGTTTGTGACCCCTGCCCCGTTTTGGAGAACCTCAAATACTTTCTCCTCTGCTGACATGAGACACGCCAGAAGGGACCCAGAGCAGACTTTTTGTGGCTATTGATGCAGGTGGATGACTTTCTCAATAGTGTGAAACGGAAAGAGAAAAAAGTGTTCAGTTCAGAGCCATGAGCAGGGACGAAATCAGTGAGCCCGCAACCCAACACCAGCTCAACACTTCACCTCACGCCCTGAAACAACATTGTAGCAGCCCCAACAACATGCAGTGCAATCATTCTGCACTAAAGCGGCTTTTAGAGTCAGTACACAGCCAGATTTCTAGAACCCGTAGAAGCAGCCATGTCTCCTCGCAGAGTGTTGGGCAAGCCGCATGGCTCTGCATGCCGACTTTAAGAACAGGGGAGGCTTACAGAGCCTCTTCAACCCGAAAGCTGGCAAAAAGGTCTTCGCAGCATCGTTTGAGTCTGTCCTGCCAGATGCTGCGCCTGCTTCGCGCCCGAAGCAGACAGGCGGCACCGGCGGCACAGGTGGCAAGTTCGCCCTGCCTCCACTACAGGCAGCCCCAAAAGCTGCTGTGCCTGATCCTCCGCCTGCACGACGTGATCTCAATGACTCTCCGATGCTTCCCCTGGCCCCTCGTCCAAGCATCGACGAGCCCTTAGAGGAATTTCAAGGCTTCTCGCGAGTATTCCAGACTGCTGTCCAGGGCCTGGTGAGACATGTTCATGACACCGCAAAGCCGGAAATGGGATCTACGGAGCCCGAGCTTGAAGACAGGCCAGTGGAGAAGATCGAAAGGGAAGACAAGGATCTTGCTGCCAAAATGCCTCCAGTGACTTCAACCTCCTCGGAGGTTCCAAAGCCTCCAGATGCGAGGAGAAGGGTGCTAGCAAGGACCCGATTGCCAGCCAAGCCTGAGACTATCGACGACATCAAAAACATTGAGGTCTTTGCTGAAAGACTGGTGGATGCTTTTGGATCCCTCACCAAAGCTTTTGAAGCCTTTGACAGTCACGGCCGGAGTGAAGTCACACGATCCCAATTCGATGCCGCGCTGGACGCCATGAAGCTGGATGTGGAGGAGCTGTGCGGAATACCCGCATCGAAGCTATTCAGCCTGGTCAGTCGAGCCTCAAAGAAGCCAATTGGAGCATTGACGGAGCAGGCTTCGACTTCCCTCTTCAAGAAACGTTCCAGTATGTTTTAGTCTCGAATGTTGAACATGCAAAGTGTTTTCACGTGTGTTTTTTTTTGCAGTGCTCCAGGCTTGGACATCCTTTTTTAAGAAGTATTTGGGCAAAACGGCCTCAGCTCATCTGCTCGAAGCGGACTACAACATCGAAAATGCCCTGAGCCAGCTGGCTGAACTACACAGCCTGCAGCCGGCACGAGACAAGACTCGACAAGACGATCAGGCCTGCACGAGTAGCTGCCCAGCGCATCCCCATGCAAAATACCCTGTAATCCCCTACATAACCCTAT